CAAGCCTACGTTAGTCTCATCCATGTCTCTTCATTATACCCAGATTACTCCTATTGAGACATGAAATGGATTTGCAGGATTTCTGACAAAAATGTCGATGTTAAGGAACCTTATTATTAAAAGAATAAAAATATGCATCTATCCACAGCTTTTCACAAAAATATTTTTATTAAATATTAGTCTATCTCCATATGATTGCTATTTTCATGAAATAAAGTCTTGGACCACCCAGATTTCTTCTCTGTTAAACACTAGTTTAAGTGTGTGTATAGAGTAGTTCCTGGGCCTCTTTCCAAATAATGTAAACTTTTCCCTTAAAAGATCTGAAAATGGGCACAATTTAAGATCACAAAGTATTATCCCCATTAAAATGTTCCTAAGATTAGATCATGGTTTGGCACAATAAACAGAATTTAATTTTTTGGCTCTTTTTATAGGGAATTCATTACAGACAGATTTCAGATTGGGGCACGGTTCACTGATGACAGTGATAGACTTCAAGCATGTATTTTTTGCTGTTTTGAGGCTGCAGGGTGTCAACAGAGATTTTGTGGAATTTAAAATTAATTTAATGGGGGTTTACACTCTTAAAGTGAAATGATAAAATAAGGCAAGAAGCTTATCGGACAAGATGCTTCTGACATCCCACCTCACCTCCTGACTTAGCTTTTGGAATTGTTGTCCCCATATTGTTATTCACCGTTTTTTGTCTTACCCAGCCATCTTCTCAGATGTGCAGGCACTGATTCTGCAGTCAGATCAGCATCATCCCTCCTCTTACTCTGCACTATAGATATCATTCCAGGAGCCCTAAAAGTTTGCATGCAAAAGTGAGTCAGTTCTTGACATACTGTTCTGTTAAATATATTTACATGTTTACATTATATTATGTTTATATTTGTTCACACAAATTCACATATATGCATTTTATATATTTTATGTAAACTTGGGTACTCAACTAGCAATGTATTTTTGTTGCTTTTTCAAGCAACATATGTGGCACTTTCAAACTGCAGATCAAATACCAGCCTGAATACTGTGACAGCTTCACAGACACACTGTCTTACTTTCTACTTATAGAGGTATATGTCTTAGATACTGTTATGGAACTATGGCAGTGCAACACATCATATTACTATTAACTATCCCTTCATTATAGAAATATTAAGAAAAGCTGTAACATAAGAACCATAACTGGCAGTATTTAAACAGAAGCATAGTAAGTATAAAGAAAGGGCTGGAAATTTCTATTGCAGTAGGCATATAATAACAAATTATTTTGAGGACATAAACTGTTGTCTAGGATTAAAAACTTCAGAAATTTATAGTCTATGATTGCCATCACTGCACAACTGTAAACACAGCCTGGCAATGTAGATAAATAGAACTTTGCATAAAGCTTACTCCTTCCACACCTGTATACACCACCAAAAACAATGCATCCAGAACCAACAGTCTGTACACCCAACAGCAAACATCTCAGTTGACGGAAACAGAGGGACATTCAGATACTTTCAGAAAGTTAGGCCTTTGGCAAAACAAAAATGGAAGATTTAAACTGTGACTAAAGTTCACGCTATTTATTCCTACTGCAGTGATAAAATAGCCTCAAATGTTTAATCCAAGCAAGAGCTGTGGTCACTTTGTTGAAGAGGACTACACCATGCAACAATGAAACAAAGCAACAGCATCTCCTTTTGTGAGATTCACACCCATCAACACAAGTTTGCTATTTTTGTATTTTCTTATGTCTTTGCATTTGTATCCATGAATAAGGTAATAAAAATAAACATTAAAATACATGACACAAAATACCAGTCTAAAGTATCACAATAAAATGAAAGCTAGCAAGACACAAGGTAGAGAACATGAGCCATGTAAAGCCTGCAGGGAAACAAAAGGGAGGAATTCTGTACCTGTTGGCTTTCATTTCCTCTAATGTTCTAACGAAGTCCCGAGCATAATGAAGGGACTTGCTTTTGGCCAGCTCTGCAGGACCTAATGGTAGATGCATTGCAAGGAGTTTCAAGCCAGGGCAGACAGAAACTGTGGCAGTGATTTGTGAGTGTGCTGCAGCAGCACTCCAATATGGATCAGTGTGATTACAGCAGGGTCACTTTGTCATCTCTAAAATATTCCAAGTTTTATTTATGCGGACAAGCAGCTCAGGCAAAGCAGGACCTAGTTTTCTGAGAGATACTTCTTTTTGTTTTTGTTTTTTTGTTTTGTTTTGTTTTTTAACTCTTCCCTTCCAGGGTAAAGAAATAAACCTGCCTATTCTGGAAAAATATCTGCAGCATTTGTATTCTGATCTCTCTAGTCAACCTTTCAAACACCATCTCCTCAAAACAGCATAGAATAATTACTGCAGCTAGTATCAAAAGGTAACATGCGTTGATAAAAAATATATTGAGTTGGGTTTTTTAATGTATTTTGAAATGAAAGTGCAAAAAGCCTCCATGCAGTAGAGGGAAAAAAACGCTATATTCTGTTCTGCTGATGAAAAGATACCCATTTTCCTGTCTTGCTTTATGGATGATTTATTTCTGATACAACACATTCAATTTTGGTTCTTAATGATCTCTGCCTTCCCCTCTCACCCTCACCAAACCAACAGGCCTTTCTGAATTATGTAAAACCTTGTTTCCAAAAATAATTTCCTTGGGTGGGTTCTGAGCCCTATCAGAGATGCGTTGGCAAAGAATGGAGAAAATGAACTCACAATGTGGAGCTTCATCAAAAATACCAATGGGAAGCCAGTAGCTGGTTTGTGAAGTTATTGAATGGCAATGACTGAAAGGAGCATGACTAAATAACCACTTTCTCAAAAGGATTTTATCTATCATTCTGAATGACCTATAAGCTAGGAGAAATCATTTAATTCATCACTGACAGATGGTAACTATCATGAGCATGCAGTCATTGTATTTGTCTGTAACAGCTCATGGTAATCTCAGAAAATGTAAGGTCTTGTCAAGCAAAAAATGGAGAGAATAGAAATTCAGAGTGCTGAAGGTCAGTTTACACAGCTTACTATCTAGGAAAGTGGGGATATTTTTCTTGAGTAACCATGCCAACAACGGCATTTAATAGTCATTCATTAATGTAACCATTAGTTAAAGTTTAACAAGTCAGCCTAGGTATGCCGCTGTGTGACATTTCATAGCAACAGTGCTTGAAATATTTACTTATTGTTTCCTTACCATTAATAATGAAACACCTGAGATCCCATTTGCATTTCCCTTCTGTTAAACAAAGCATGTTCATTTGTAGATTTAAATGGGCCACATTTCTGTTGTGAGCTACCAGAGATTTCAGCTATTTTTATATGGAGCAGCTTACCCTAATGTCAGAGTGAAATTTATGTAGTAATGGATTTGTTTCTAGTTTCTTCAGTGAAATTTTCGTATGATTTATTTCATAAACTTGTTGCTTTCTGTCACGTAATCCAAAAGGCTGCATCAGAGAATAGTTGATAGGAAGCTGTGTTTGCTCACCATGGGGTGTGGTCTTTGCAAAATGCACACCTGAGTGGGTACTGGAATGTGAAGTCTAATTTCTAAATACAGATTAAATACATTCTATTACAATTCTAAATACAGGTATATCAAAATACAGATATATCTTATACATTTCTAAATACAGATACAACTGTGGTTGGTGTAAATCGAGTTGATTAGAGATATGATGAAAGTAACAAGTGTGGTGTATAGGCCCACAGCCCTCTTCTACCCTACATGGCAAAAAGGAGGCAGCAGAACATGAATACAACCTCATCAGATGCAGCAACATCCCCTTAGTGTGAGTCTATGGCACCATCTATGGGTGAGATTGCCATCCAAACCACTTATCCTGATTCCTCCTCCTCTCCAAGTTTACAGTTCTGCACAGCAACTCCCCAAGCCATCCCGTGCTCCATCATGGCTCTCCAGCGTGGCACAACATGGTGTGCTGCCTCCTCCCACTGCCCCTGCTGCCCGAGGTTCTCTCTCTTCCCACTCTACAGGACCCTGGCCACATTTGAAGTCCTTTCCTCAAAAGCGGCTGTGACCAGCTACCTGCCCACGCTTCAGGTGCTCTGTGTGGTCTGAGTCCTCACTTGGGTCTGCTCAGGCCTTCAGGCAGGACCTGCTGTGTGGGGACAGGACCACGGCACTTGGAAGCCACCAGGGAGGGCGAGAAGATGGCCTGTTCCTCCTGGTGAAGCTCCCCTGGACACTCAGGCAAGGGGCTGCAAGACAAGATCATTCTGCAAGGCCTTTTCTCCATCGCAGGCCTCTGGTGTGGTAAGACATCTCTCTCACACTGGTAAAGCTGGGGAGAGGACACCTCGCAGCTGAAAGCGTCTTCTGGACGTGGGTGCACAAGCTGCCAGGGGCAGCAGTTAGATCCAAGGGCCACAACCCTGCAAGCCCATTATTCCCATTCCTCGGGGCTCACTACAGGGATAATGCTTTTTAAGTGGGGTGGAGCAGCAGGGAGGGAAGGGGCTCATGCCCTGCAGTGCTGTTAAACGTGGATACTGCTGCAGGTCTGAACCTCAGGCAAGACCTCCGTCCCGGGCACCCCGGCAGCCGCCTCCCGGCTCCGCAGCGGCCCGTTAACGCCCGGGACCCGCGCGGTGTGTGTGCGGCAGCGGGCAGCTCCCCCCCGCCGGGCAGCCGCCGCCCCCGCTCCGTCCCCACGGCACGGGCAGAGGCTGCCGGTCGGGCTGGAAGAGCTGAGGGGATTTACGGACACCTCCTTGGCTTTTTAAAAATTTATTTATTATAATTTTTCTTTCCGGCATTCTTTGGGACTAGGAGTTCTGTTTCAAAGCAGTACCTGCTGGGGGTACGGGCTTGCTCCCCAGGCTTCACCGTTGATCTTTAAGTTCTCACAGAACCGCCATCTCGCCCGTACCCCTTCCCGCAGACAGAGCACGGCCCGGACATCAACGAGTCGTCCATCCCCTCCCCGGGCAAACACCTCCCTCCACCTGAGTCCTTGGCGAAGGAGGGTGAAAGGCGAGTGGCTGCTCCGGGCTGGGCGGCCATAATAGCGCCCCGCCCCGCCCCGGCGCATGCGCGGCAGCGGCAGCCCCGGCGAGATGGCGGCGGCGGAGGAGGAGTGAGTGTGGCAGCGAGGGAGGCAGGGATCTGTCGCCATCCGCGGGGATTGCGCGGTCGCGGAAGCGGGGGGCGGCGGTGGGGAGAGTCCCGGGGGGGTCGGGGTACGGTGCTGCGGGGTGTGACCGCCTTCTCCCGCCCCGCAGGCCGAGGCGACGGATCCCGCTGGTGCCGGAGAACTTGCTGAAGAGGAGGAAGGCCTACCAGGCCATCAAGGCCACCCAGGCCAAGCAGGCGCTGCTCAACAAGCGGAAGGTAGGGGCTGGCTGCGGGAGGGATCCCCAAACTGGCCCTGTCCGGCGGTGCGCGGGTGGCGGCCGACTGGGAGAGCCCGGTTAGAAGGGGGTGAAACCCGGGTCTGCGGTGCTGTTGGAGCTGCCCGTCCTTTTATTTCGGGGGAGGGAACTGTAATACCGTGCAGTCGTGCGGATGATGTGAGCGAGCAGCGTGCTGTGCGCGGGGGGGTGGTGCTGGTGGGCAGAGGAGGGAGGCAGCGAGCTGCTGGTGCCTGTGTGGGTGCCGCGGTGGTCCTCTGGGCCGTCTGAAAGGACGCTTGAGTTCAGCTCTTTAGTTGTTGAGCATCATCCCCGTGCGTTCTCAGACAAAACTTTATGGCTTGTTATACTGAAACGCAAATTTATTGAAGACTGCAAGTTGTTGCTCCTAGGTCAGTGATTACCAGGGTGCGTGTGTGTACAGCCCCACCTGCTAAAATGTGATGCTGCTGAGTTGTTTGTGCTACCGTAGGATTACTCTTATCTGAAACGAGTTCAACTTTGTGTTGTAAACCTTCATGGAGGCGATGTGCTTTTCTGAGAGTACGTTTAGAGTTAGCTAGCTATCGTTAGCTAGATAAATGTTAGACCATAGACGGGTCATCATGAAGCCTTTTTTGGTGTGTAGGGTGGTACATGTTGCTAATGCAGAGACGCCCAGTGCCCAGTGTGTGGTTTCCAGACTGGCAGAGCCCAGCAAACCTTTCTGTTTTAGAATTTGAGACCTGCTCTGCTGTATCTCAGCTCATGTATCAGGTGCTTGTTTTACAAGTGGCTTAAAGCTTTCCCAGTGAATCTCTTTCTGTGGAGTTGGTGGGATTATGTGCAAAACTCCTGCAGTTTTTGTTAGATAGTGTGTTTATGTTTTTAAATATATCAGTGGCTTGCTGTATTTCCAAAGCAAAATGGAACCATAAACAATAATGTTAAATAGCGACCTCTTAAAATTCTCCTTAGAAAAATGACCCTAGTGATGAGACTTTGATGGGGTCTTCCTGTTTTGAAAATTCACATCAATTTCATGGGTGATTTACAAGGTGAAACAGAACAGAAGATGCATAACATTAGGTTCTTCAATTTTAAATGGCCTAATAGTTTAGCTAGTAGTGTATCTAAAATATTACTGCATAACTGCCATGCATATTCAGCTCCTATTCATATGAGAAAGCACTATGATTTAGGCAGATGTACTTGTTCCTGAGCTAAAGATAGGCATTTAAACAGCTTTTTAATTTAAAAAAGCTCTAAATTTTCCCACAATTTTGAAAAGAATTTTTTCTCAGGTGAGCTGGATGTTCTGTGTTTACTAATACTTTATAGTTATTTGAATGCTTGGATTATTTTTTTCTTATGTGTCTTTATAGAAAATAACTTTAAACCCAGTTATTTTCTGTTGGATGGCAATTTGGAGTCACTAGAGTATTGCTGTAGCATATGTTTTACCCAGATACCTATGTTGTTTCTGCCTTTCCCAGTGATTGTCTGAGCTGTCTGTGTAGTTGTGAAGATCTGTCTGTTCGTGGCTGCAAATGCTTCCATGGGATTTCTACTATGTCTAGAAGTATCCTCGGTCTCGCTCTGTTTTTCATAATTTATTTTTTTCTGGGGAAAAACTCTTAGTTCACTGTTCATAAGCTATAGCTAGCTGCTTGTAAATTCATATGTTGTCCCTTAGTTCTGTCTCCCTTGAGCTTAGATTTTCAAATTTATTTTCTTCTTACTGTCTCCAAAAGTGAAAGAGCATACTTCATCAAGTTCTGAATTTCGTTTGGCCTTTGAGATGCAGATCTCTAAGACTGTTGGGAATGGTGATGGTTTCTTATCTTTTTGTCTTCAGCACCAGAAGGGAAAACAAATCCACTTTAAACGCCTTGAGACTTTTGTACAAGATTCATGGCGCAAACACCGAGATGATGTCCGGCTGAGGCGCATGGAGCAGAGACCTGGACAGACGGCTGTGCCTCAGGAGCACAAACTAGCCTTTGTTGTGCGGATTGTAGAGTAAGAAACTTTTGTTACTCCTTAGCTTTAGTATTGATACCATTTGTAGCTGTAATATCATTTCTAAGCAAAGGAAGGGTGATCGATCCAGACATGTGTCCTTGCAGGTAATCTCAGGCCTTTTGTTGCTGTATTAGAGAAACGTGGTTACTAATAGTATTTTTTTTTCTGACTCAGTATTACAGGAGTGAGTAGGAGGGTGAAAAGAGTGATTGAGTTGCTGCGACTGAGAAAAAATTTCACTGGAACATTTGTTAAACTGACCCCTTTATCACTGAAGATGCTGCGGATTGTGGAACCTTACGTGGCGTGGGGGTAAGTGCCAGTCCCATGTCTTGATAGCAGTTTGTATGTAAATACTGTAGCTTTTTGATTCTCCATCTGGTATCACAAATCCATAGCTGGCTTTTCCAGTAATGATCAGAACTTTGTCAGCTCTATATCTAAAACTTGTTATTGTAACTTGTTTACTTTCCTACCTCTGTACAAAGAAGTAGAATGGGACTTCCTGGTGTATCATGACTTTCCGTTACGGAATCTGATTTTTGTTTTTGCACAGACACCCTAACCTGAAGTCTGTACGAGAGCTCATCCTGAAACGGGGCCAAGCCAAGATTAAGAAAAAGAGGATGCCTCTCACAGACAATATGCTGATAGAGGAACATTTAGGTAAGGAAGAGGATGAGAAAATGAAGTGAATCAAGGAAAGAAGCAAATGTTGAGAGTTTGCAATCTGACCTAAGAGGAGGGGGAGGGAGAAAAGTCTTGGAAGACTTGTATATGATGGAGTGTGTCATGGTTTGAACCTGCTCGGCAGCCGAACACCACACAGTCACTTGCCCACCCTCCCCTGCCTGGAAATGGGGGAGGGAATTGGAGGGGTAAAGGGAGACTCATAGGTTGAGATAAAACCAGTTTAATAATGGTAATAAAAACAATAATAGAAAGTATAAACAGGCAATGCACAATGCGATTGCTCACCACCTGCTGACTGAGACCCAGCCCATTCCTGGCTGGTGATCCCAAAATACCAAGATCTTCCAATCGCAATCCCAGAAGTGAGAATGAGCCTCCCGCCTCCCCCCCTTCCTAGTTGCCCCTCCTCTATATAGTGAGCATTACATTACATGATACGGAATATTTCACTGGCCAGTTTGGGTCCGGTGCTGTGGCCGAGCTCCCTCCCAGCTGCTTGTGCACCTGCACACAGGCAGGACATGGGGAGTTGGATTGTCCTTGAAATCTCAGCAACAGCTGAAAAGATTGGTGTATTATCAGCATTCTTCTCATACCAGATCCCCTACTGAATCCAAAACACAGCACTGTTCTACCTACTAAGAAACATTAACTCTATTCTTGCCCAAACCAGGACAGGCTGACAATTCTGTAGTAGCATGAAGAAAGATAATAACAGGTGGACATCTCACATATATGTTGTTGGGGGGGGGGCCTTAATTTTTTTTTTTGGTGCAGGGGACTGTGGTATTATTTGCCTGGAAGACCTTATTCATGAGATCTACTCAACTGGGAAGTATTTCAAAAAAGTCACAAGCTTTCTATGGCCATTCCATCTGTCAGTGGCTCGTCACGCTTCACGTAACAAAGTTGGTTTCCTCAAGGAAATGGGTAAGCCTGGCTGCAGAGGTGAAGCAATCAACCAGCTCATACGTCAGCTGAACTAGTCAGGTGAGGAAGGCCTGTTGTGGGACTTCTAAATCTTATCCTTTATCTGTTTTCCTAAGAATAACTATACTGCCATTGGAGATGAGGGGAGTTCCTTTGTTTTTGATTCTTCACTCTACAAAAGTGACACTCCCATAGGGGAAACTAAGGAAGAGTGTGGGTCCTGTTAGGTATCAGCAGATCCTATTGGACACCTCCTTAGAGGCTTGACTTATGTGAGATTGCATTAATGTGACTGGGTTTTTTCTTTCTTTTTTTTTTTTTTCCTGTTCTGCAGGATCTTTGTGAAAACTTCAGGATTTACAACCTGTTCCTGTTCACATACAGTTTTCATGGACATTATACAGGGATATACTCTATCTCTTGACTGTTGGTGCCTTTATGAAAAAAGAAAAAATACACAGATTATGATGGATGGAGATGGACTTTGGGCTGGTCCTTCTAAAAGAAGCTAAATTGTATGTGGTACAAGAAAGAAATGACATGAACTTCCCAGAGCAATCTGACTTTGGCATCTCTGTCAAACAAGTTTTTTTCGTACTCATTACTGCTGGCTCTGTGCCCATCACCTTCTGTTCTCCTGATCTTTGGTATAAAGCAGTGGTGGTCAGTTCCTGATTTAAATTTCTGCTACAGCTGATTTGCACTCACTGCTTTGATGCAGTCCTCCCCTGGGGAAGTACACGTCCTCCTAGGTGTAAAGGAATATAGTGCTGTCAGCTGTTCAAGACTTGCTGACAGGCAGAAGAAAACACAGAAAACTGTTTCTCTGATCCTGCAGTGCAAGCCCTAGTAGGGAATAATGTAACATTTTTTCAAAGCACCTAGATTTTATTTATTTTAAAACACAATTGATTTTGGGCTACTGCTTTATGAAAGGCTGCCTTTTCAATTCTGCTAGATTGAGATTGCTGGAGAGAACTATTTCATGGTAAAAAAGCCCAGAAATTTCGTAATACAGCGGTGGAATAGATGTAGTCCATGGTTTTTAAATAAACTTTTGAAGATACAATGTTAAAACTGTAAGAGTTGTCTATAGCTTTTCCAACTCTTCTAATGTTAATTACTTTGGCTGAAGGGGATATGGTAAAGGAAGTGAACAAAAACATGGAAGAGGCTGAAAGTTCTCTTGAAGTTTAGAATCCCTAATTTCTTCTAATACAAAAATGGGTGAAGACTGCTTGAAGGGTCCTATGCTATTTAACAAACATGGAAGGCAATGTGCTTAATCATTACATCACTGCATTACTGTGACTAATTTATACTGTTATTAGAAGATATAATGGGGGCAAACTATAAATCCAGGAGTGGATTTCATATTGACTCTACAAACACAGGCTTTGAGACTCGGAAGAAACAGCTAAAGTAACAATAAGTATCATGCCTTTAGGCTAGTGATTCTATGGCAGTTATAAACTAAGGTGCAGCATTCATAAAACTATCTCAAATTCAACTACAGACTCTGAATTAGAGAACACTATACAATTTGTAGCTTTATTATATAAAACAAGAATACAAACATAGAAAATGCTTGACAGACACTAGAGACACACACCAACTTAGAACAATACTGTCCCCAGAACTAGAGTCCAGCAGTCATTACTGTACAAGGCTCCATGTATTTAAGATTTTCCTGATAAACAGCTGCTTTCATTTTAAAGAGGTACAAGTAACTTCAGAATTGTTGATTCATTTTAAGATTGTTTCTGGTAATAAAACAGCCCAGGCTTTTAATAGGAAGAACTGGCAAGCCAAGACTGAAATTTTCATAGTGCCAGGGAAAACTTAAGCCTGCTGATAGAATGGAGTTTATAATAATCTAAAACTACTAAATTACAGTATCTGAACACAATTCTAGCAATTAATCCTAGATTTAGGCAGTTTTTCTAGTGAATGTGGTAGTTTAATGCATAAAGAAAGAATTGAACTATTATTATGAATACCTTATTTAGACCTCTTTAAAAACAATGCCAGATTAGTCTAGCGTTACATCACATTATTGTAGACAAACACCTTGTCTTTTCTCTGCATCATACCTCAGCAGGAACAACAGTAACCATGTGTTCATGACTTAGCTGTGCTACGAACAGAAACTGTACAAGGTGACAGGATATATACAAAGCCCCTCAATGTTTTAGGGAAAGGAATCCTTTTTGTAAGCCACCGTACTATTTACTTTGTGGATTGTGGTAGTGAAGGAACGAAGACGAACCTCTTCTGAATTGGCTATGAATTGTGGTCCCGACTCTTCCCACTTTTCTGGCACTGCCAAATCTTTATCAGTGTATATCAGCAAGTCAAAGGCACCTGTAAGCAAGTGGGAACAAATTAACAGTATTGCATGCGTTAGATGGCATGTTTGAATTTGAAATGCATCTTCTAGAACTTTAGACATGTACCAGGGTTTTCAGAAGTTACACTGATACCAGTTATGTGAAAAGAAAGAGTAGTTAGAACATGAAAACAAGTCCTGGTTGTAGTAATATGTAGCCATTTTAGTTCTCAAGCAAGTGTGATGAGAATTTTTCTAAAAACATGTTAAAATGCTGTGGAGGTGAGCTCTGTGTAACACTTCATATGAACTTAATGGTTATTTGTACAAGCCTGTCCACACATAGATTCACAAAATAATTCCTCAAGAGTACACATACTAGTTTCATTAAGTCACCCTGAGTTCTGTCCTTTTGACAAAAAAAAGCTTGTAAATTTTTTTGAGAGAAAGTACCACTAGTTCCTTTAAATGAAGTTGCTCTGAGCTCTAATGAGATGGTACACTGGTACACAGTATTTACACTTGCAATTGTTTTTTCTGGCTGTTATGCAAGAAACACTATAGGATAATTCTTAAAAGTATTTGATCCAACTTACTGCTTTCCATACTGTACACAATTGCAGGAGACGTGATATCAGTCTAACAAAATGTTCTCAGAAATGTGATGGTATAAAACATGTAATAATTAAAACCCTCAGAAAATCAGCAGAAAATATTTTCCAAAGTGGAAAAGATTTTGAGGTTTTCCAAAAGAAATGTTTGATTCCTTTAGCGAAGTTAGGAGTACTCACAGGCAGTTTCCAACAGTGGCAGGAAAGTTACTGTGGCAGTTATTTGTCTGATAACAGATCGAATTTCATCCTGAATAGCCTTCTGAGATTTTTCTCGTGGTACACTGGAAAAATAGGAAAACTCTGTTAAGAAAGAAAGCTTCTGCTATACCAACAGTTTTCTTTAAATACAGTTCTATTAAGCTCTGTTGGTCTGTTTGCTATGGTATTTTTTTTTTATAGTAGTGACACTTTTTTAAGCCATAGGTAGATAGTCGGTTTATCTTTATTGTTGTTTGGGAAGCTTCACAGTATTTGTAAGGAACATTACATTTATTCTCAGTCCAGAACAGATGAGAATATTTTGGCATAACATGAAAGCAGTAGTTCTTTAGGGCATGTACCCAGTACAGGATTTGATATGCTTTGTTGAAGATTAAAAATCAAGTTTTGATCTGATGCTTCAAAAAAAAAAAAAAAAAAAAAATTCAACACCTAAGGATTATGTGCGCTTTAATCATATAGTGATTTACAGGCAAACAGAAGGAAGAGGAGTAAGAAAGGTAGTAGGTTTGAGGGAACGTCTTGCATGCTCACAGTGACAAAAGGCGCTCTCAGCTGCTCTGAGGCACCAGGACGGTGCCGATGCACTCAGCGATCGGCCTGTGCCTACACAGCTACCAGGCGTGAGGAGAGCCAGGGGCAGAGGCACAACCGTTAACTCACCACTCACCTCTCATCCTTTGCGGTTTTGTCACACTCCACGTCAAACTGCCAGCGCTCCAGAACCTCACTGTTCTCGATACTCGAGATGACCACCACCAAGCGCTGCACGATGCACTTGTACAGCCACTCTGAAAGAAGCCACAGCAGTTACTGACAGCGCGAGAAAGGTAAGAAGCGGCAGCGGGCGCGGCAGCCCCCGGCGGCCGCAGCAGCCTTGGCGGCCCCCTCAGCCCGCCCCCCACCTTTCATCTGCTCCACCACGTTGTTGAGGTAGCTCTTCAGCTCGGGGTCGGTGGTGACGAGGAGGGTGAGCCCGTACTTCTGGACGCGGGTGAAGGTCTCGGGCGGGTAGATGCCCCTCTGGTAGAGGATACTGTTGATTCCATAGGCTGCAACACGCGGGAATTGGGGGGGGAGGGGAAATGTGTACGCGTGAGGCGGCCATGTCGCCCCGCAGGAGGCCTGTGATCAGCCTCCGGCCCTCTCTCCCTCTCCCCGACCGCGGTCCCCGAGGTCTCCCCCCGCCCCGCGTCCCCCTTACAGAAAAACTCAGCGACGATCTCGGCGCTGCCCCGCAGGGTGATGCCCTGCTGCTCCCGGCCGAGCTGCTTGGCCATGGGAGCTGCGCGGCCACCACTTCCCCGCCGCCCTGTTCAAATCAGGCCCCGCCCCTTTCCCGGCTCCCCCGCCTGCCTCCGCGCATGCGCAGTAGCGAGGCCGCGCCTCCCCCCCCCCCAGCTCTCTGCCTCCGCGGCGGCCGTTAGCAGCGCTGGCGCGAGCTGGGGCGGAGGTCCCGGTGGCTGAGGAGGGGCTCCGCGCCGCGCCCTGTCCCGCCGCCCCCAGCAGCCGCCTGCCTCTTCCTAGTGAAGCGGGGCTGCGGCGCGTCCGCGGTAGTAAAGGGCTGTTGGGTGCAGGTTCGGCGGCTGGTAGGAATTAAAGGTCTTTTCCACCAGCTCTGCGTGCCGTTGCGCGGGGCTGCGGGAAGCGTAGGGGGGTGGGTGGAGCGAGTCGTCGCCGTGGGAATGCTGTTGGAAGTTCGGTTTCAGAGTATCATAGAACGGTTTGGGTTGGAAAGGACCCTAAAGACCATCTAGTCCCAACCCCCCTGCCACGGGCAGGGACCCCTTCCCCCAGCCCAGGCTGCTCCCAGCCCCGTCCAACCTGGCCTTGAACCCTTCCAGGGAGGGGGCAGCCACAGCTGCTCTGGGCAATCTGGGCCAGCGCCTCACCGCCCTCACAGGGAAGAATTTCTTCCTTATATCTAATCTACATCTACTCTCTTTCTGTTTAAAACCGTTATCCCTTGTTCTGTTCCCACACCCCCTGATAGAGTCCCTCCCCACCTTCCCTGTAGCCCCCTTTAAGCACTGGAAGGCCGCTATAAGGTCTCCCTGGAGCCTTCTCGAGGCTGAACAGCCTCAGCTCTCTCAGCCTGTCATACAGGCGGTGCACCAGCCCCTGATCATCTTTGTGGTCTCCTCTGGACTCCCTCCAACAGGTCTATTTTTTGTTTGTTTAGATGTGTTCAGCAGTATGAAGGCACTTTTGAACCTAAAAATTATACTTTCCAAGTACAAATGAAATTAAGCAAATACCTTGTTTATTGGTGCTTTTTGGTAGTGTTCATGATGTAAATCATGTAGTAGCTGTCTGAAATAAAAACAGCCTATTCTGCAAGCAGTGTCATAAGGTATGCAGGTAGAACCTGGGAAAGGACGAAACACGCTTTTTCCATAAATCCACAGGATAGCAGGTAACACAAAAAGAAAGGGTTTAAGAGGTATTTAGAAAGCTCTGGATGAACTCACCCCTGCTGTCAGGCAGCCACAGTGAAGGGTAATTGCTAGGTGGTCAAAGCACTTCAACCCTGTCATTACAGGGGCACCAAGGAAGACACTGCAACTAACTAGCGGTGACTATCAAATGGAGGAAACTCTGGCAGAGGTTAACAGGTAAGAGAGAGTGAGTGAAACAGCAAGTAAACATTAAGTGTTGAAATACTTAAATAGTATCACAAAGAGGGAAAGCCATGGTCTGCTGGGATAGTAACTAGGTGGCCAGCTAGTCGGATGATAAAATCAATCAACAGGCAAGTAAGTGCAAAGCGAATGGACTTGATGGGCATGGAAGAACCGCAAATGAATTTCTTCCCTGCATATGATTTTTCTAAGTGTCTGTAAAGAATAAATGTTATCATCTAAGACATACCAGTATTAGATGCCTTTATTGACCTTGAAAGAAACCAATCAGAACAGCCTTAAAATGAAGTGACATTCAAAACAGAAGTATTTTAAACCTAGGATAAAAACCATATGGTCATTACACAGTGCAGTAGGCTGGCTGCTGAAAGAGTGAATCGATGGCCTGATTGCATATTTTGTCAAAATATTTTTTCTCAAAAGCTAAGACTTTCTGTTGGTTCTAATTTTGGCTCTAGGTAGAAGTACAGTCTGCTTCAGGGTTCTTGCTGCTGTGATTAAAACAAATAGTAGAGTCCTGAAATCATATGCTGAAGTTCTGAAAGGGTCTGAATAATTTACTTATTAACCTAGAGAAATTTATTCTGGGTCTTAATCACTAGTGATTGTGTTATACATTAGTCTTCTGAATAAAATATTTTCTGAGTAAGAGTGTATTTCAAAGCCTATGGTAACGGAGGCATTTTTCATCCAGAGCCCACCTTTTAGAAGCTAGATAGTTGTGATTCATCTATCCCAAAATGGCCTCAACCCCCTTTTTTTTTTTCCCACTTGACTTTTCATCCGTTTTGTTTCCTCTGAGGTTTTTGGAGAGCTGCTCATTTTTCTGATAAATATAAGAGCTTGAAAGCCCTGTTGCATGAATCCAAGCAAGAATAGTAGAGCTTATGATTAATATTTATACATTTCTTCTCCAGCTGTTTTGTTACTGTTAAAACTAAATGGAAGAAACAAATCCAAATGTTTCTTGGTTTACCACAAATTCATTTCACTGTATTTCAGTGTAGATAGCTTGAAGATCTGTTGTTGATATGAATGGGCAGATATGCTTATCAACAACAGACTTAGTTGCATCTTTATTTCTCCCAAGATTCATCTGGCAGGTATTGAGAGGTGGTGGTGATCCTCACTACCTCTGTTAAAGCTCTAAGCTTCATTCAGTGAACCTGGTACACGATATTTAACAGTACTGGATCACTTCTCTATCCCCAGGTCTGTATTGCAGTTTATGCTGGTTTCTGCCCTGATGTGCCCCCTCCCCCCCACCCACCCAAAAAAAAAAAAATGAAGAACACTTCTGCATTTTGGAATTTTAATTTTTCTCTCTCTCTCTTTAGAGAAATACATTTCCCTTTTACAATGTGTTACTACTTTTCTTTACAATTCTTATATATGCTGCAATGTAATCTAGTGGTAAGAGCTGCGTAGTTTCAATACTTTTCCTTTCTCCTAAGCTCCTATTATTTCCCCTTTTTTTTTTTAACACATTATTTTTCTGTGGTCTGTTCACTGGGTTTGAAAAGTTCAGTCTTTTAAGTCCATGAAGTAGTCTCTTTCTTAACCTTTGTATTTCTTCTACTAGAATGTTCATTTTCACCTCTTTTTCCTCTCATGCCATCAAGGTGTTCCTCTCCTTCCCCCCACCAATAGTTCACTTGTATGAACGTTTAGTTATTTTACAATGTGTGTTTGCTGCTTTTCACTTCACATTCTCTAATTAGCTCATCTTTGTTTCTCTGTTTCGTGTCCTCAGCTCCACAACACTTGCCTTCATTTTCTTTGTTTTGTTTAGGTCAGTGTCACTTTGCTTCTCAACCCAATATCCCCCAATAGAGGCACCCAGGGAGCATGTGCTTATCTGTCATGTAACTCATCTGCAGTCACCACCTGACCATAGCCCAGTCAAGTGTGATGGGGACATACATACCTAAGTCCTGTTGTCATGTTACTGAGCGGGTGTGTTCCATGCGATGATGATGGCTGTAGTCTGTGTTTAGGGCACGTCCAGCTACATGACAGGAGGAAGGCTGCGGGGCTCTTTCGAGGGAGAACAGCAGGGACACTGCCTCTGGTTAGTGAATGATTTGTGTGGCTGACAGCCTGCTTCCTGACCAACTCTGAGGGACTCTCAGGAAAGAAGTTGACAGGCTGAGTTATATCTTCTGGCACACCAGAAGCTGGCTATCCTTGCTTTAATTATCTCATGATAAAACCTTAATTTTCATAAGGAATGTGAAATCCCAGTTGTATTTAATTTAGGTCTCTTACGATTCTTTAGTCGTTGCTCTGTTTCTCAGTTACAGCTTGATGTTATGACAGATTTTTTTGGGATTTTCTTTCTGTGGAAGGAAATGTCCCCTATTTAGCTTGGCTTTCCTGCAACATTTAATGATTGCTTCCCCAAGGCAATTGTCAACAAACCTGGGACAATCCAAATCACTGGTACGCCTTCACTTTTTTTAAGACAACCCAGGTCACATTCCCATAGTCATTCAGCAGACTAGAAGATATAATCCACTTGTGAACTTCATTCTCTTTTTTTTTTTTTTTTTCTTTTTTTTCTTTTTTTTCTTTTTACCCTCAGGATGATGTGGACAGGTCTCTCCTTCCTCTCCTTCCAGCATAGCAAAATAGTCTATAAAATTAAAGTTCTGTTGGCTATAAAAGCCCTCAACACATTAACAAACTGCCATATTAAGCCTCAGTAAAACCAGTTTTTCCTGTGCAGAGAAAGGAAGTCTTACCCTGTCCAACAGAGCCTTAGTGCTTCAAGTTTTCTGGTTGATATCAAGCTCTTTTGAGTAATTTCTTCCCACACTTTAGGAGGAGATTCTGTATTTATGAGCCCACAGAAATAGCTAGCGTTTTTGCCTTCTTCCCTCTTATTTTCTGTGCATCACTGATTCTCCTCACGGTTTTAGAGTGCTATCCATCCCTGTAGTTCCCAGCACTCAAACTCCATGGCAGGTGTTGAGCTCATTCTTTTTCCGCAGGTTAGACATTTTGCTGCCTCCCTTCCTCAGCCCAGTTTGTGGTATTTGTAGGTCACATGCTGGGTGAGGCAGTTCTCACCTGGCTAAGCTTCCATGATTTCTGGTGAAACTTACTTTTCCTTACCAGCAGTTTAGTTTCTGTGCTATAGAAGGGTGTGACATTCAGGTGGTTCCCAGGAAAACCTTTTCCTGGACATAGGGTAGGTCACCAGCACAGCCAAGTACCATCACTGTTCCTTTATGTAGGAGTTATTTTTAAGCCTTCTAAATATTTACATCACTTTGCTATCTTTAAATCAATTTGCTGTGTGTGAGCTTCTTTACAGCTTCCCATTGTGTCTTCACAGCTCTCACCCAGGATTCCTCTGGTGATTTATTATTATCTGGAATTAACTTCAGAATTAATGTAAAATACTGAACTTTTTGACAGGCATTTTATTGCCAAACTAATTTTGCTTTCTTTTTTTGTTGTTATTGTTGGTCAAGTTTGTTTTCAACAGTCTTTGTAGCATTAAAGTTTGCAGGATAAGTACAGGTACCTCGTGTCAGCTGTCCAAATAAACATAGCATTTCTTTTAAAGTTGGTTAATGCTATTTTTTAAAATATAAAACATGGAATATTTTTACAAATAGCAATACTGCATTCCTTCACCAACAGCAATGAAAGAGTGGAGCAACTGGGAAAGATTG